GTCTCTGCTTTGGGAAAGTATCTGCAGAGGGGATGCGAAACAGGTCACTGCTCTCTGCCACTCTGCCTTCAGGCATAAGACGTTGGAACCTACATCCTTATGGGGCAAGAACTGGAAGACAGGGACAGCTAGTGTCTTTGCATCACTTGATAGACAAAGGCTCACACAGCCGTCAAGTAGCATTCCTTCCATGTCCAACAGGCACAGGTTCTTTCTCAAGAATTTTATTTTAGGGGCCGGCTTGTGGCACAGGGGGTTAAGCCGGTGCCTGTGATACCAGCATCCCATATTGGGAGGCCAGTTCCAGTCCCAGCTGTTTGCTTCCATTCCAGCTTCCTGCTAATGCGCCTGGGAAGGCAGTGCACAATGGCCTAAATACTTGGGCCCCTGCCACTCGTGTGGGAGACCAGGGTGGAACTGCTGGCTCCTGGCTTCTCTCTGGTCCAGCCCGGGGCCATTGAGTCCATTTGGGGAGTGAATCAGCAGATGGGAGATCTCTCTCTTGCTCTCGCTCTCGCTCTTGCTCTCACTCTACTTCTCAAACAAGTAAATAAACAAATATTTTAAAAATAATCTTATTTTAATTTTTATTCGGACACATGGAAGAGTCCTCTAGGAAAGTCCAAATTAGAGAAGTGTGTTGATGTGAAGTGCAGACAGAGTTCAGAAAATGCTTCCTGGACCAGTCAACAAGTTCACATCACACCCTCTTTCTTCTGCAGCAGCATTGCTGCTCGTGCCCTCTCAGGCACTGTCGGCTTTGTTCTAGGTCTGTAGGAGCTGTGTCAGCTGGCGGGCAAACCCCAGAAGCACAGTGAGAGTGAAGCTGATTTTGAAAGGCAGAATGATAGCGAGAGAGAGAGAAAGAGAGAGAGCAAGAGAGCTATCTTCCATCCACCGGTTCACACTCCCCAAATGTCCACAAAAACCAGGCTGGGCCAGGCCAAAGCCAGGAGCCTGGAACTCCATCCTGGTCTCCCACGTGGAAGGCAGAGCTCAAAGCACTTGAGCCATCATTTGCTGCCTCCCGCGATGCATCCACAGAGAACTACACTGGAAGCAGAGTAGCCAGGTCTCAAACCGGCCATCTGATGCAGGATACAGGAATTCCAAACAGTCCTCTAACTTGCTGCGCCACCACAGAGAAGGAGAAGTCTAGCATTTTTCTTGCGAACAGTTGAGTTTCCTTTCATTTTGACTAACATATTTGAAAATTAAAAGCTTAAAAAAAAACAACTAGCAGATTATTTAAAAATGGGAAATCAAGTGGCACTGCCGATTTTGTATTTACTGGTGACGGGAAGGTGTGGTTAAGCTTAGCAGAGAGTTAAATTGACTTAAGTGGCCCTGCCCTGAAGAACATGAACGTTGATCATCGTGTCAGCTTCCCCTGTTTGTTACTGTGAAGTGGTGAATATGCTCCAGGATAAAAACGTGATCGACTTCTGGAAAATTCTCTCCCCACATCACGTTGTTCTTATTTTATTGACAATCTCTTTTATGACTGGTACATATATGTTATTGATACATCTCCTTGAGTAATAAGAACAGGAAGCATGTGCAAACATTTTATATTAAATACGAATGACTTATTTCCATTCTTCCAAACTACAGGAGGCAAATTTAGAGGTTATTTTCATAGGTGTGCTAGGTTATCTAGGCACACTGTGCTGAAATCTTTGTGTTTTTCCACCCAAGGTTTTGTGGCTAGCACAAATTCACCTGTTCCAACACAGACTTTACAGTAACTGGAGCACTAATATGTATTCTGTGACATGGCAGCTCTTATTAGATCTCCAAATAAAGGCTGCCTACAATCTCTCGTATTGATTAAGTACAGAAGCAATTCATTTTTCCTGACATACAGAACCCTGGAAATTTATCAACTTTTATTATTCCTCATCGAAATGAGCTCCTTTAGATCTCTAATTATATTGTCTAATAAAACTAAACAGTGCGATTTGCATATTATATGAAGAAGTGTCTTACAACAAACTCATGGCAGTCAATTAACATAAAAGCTAATTATATATCTCATCAGCTTACAAGAGTTTCTGAATTCATGCTTTCCCTGCTGCAGCCTAGAGCAAAGGCACTCTGGATCTTCACTTCTAAATATTGACTTTTAACTAATATCAGCAGTGATTGCAGTTTTTATGGCTGGAAAGTTAGTGATTAAACTAGATGCAATATTTGCCGTAATGCAATTCAAATTTCTACACCACATCTCTACAAAGAAAACCTTTGCAACAATGTGAAATTAATTCCCAGTCGCTCAACAGCTTCAGGACTGGGTTCACAACCGCGGGACACTCCAAAATAACGCGAGATGAGAAATTGCTCGGAGTCCGCCGGGCTGTAACGGTAGAGACGGAAACTCCACAACGAAGGTTTCCACTTCCAACTGTGCACTGTAGCCTAATTGTATTCTTGCATGATTGTGATAGCTATCAAGCAAGAAATTTACTACAAGATTAACAGAGACACAGTAATGAACAAGCGTGGGAAGCATCGTGTAATTGACTGTTATTAAAGTCTTGTCCTAGTGGCCCCTAATACACTCCCTAGCTCCAGCTTTCCATAGAAACCAAAGGCTGGGACTTTTCACTACTTTCTTCCATTTTCCAAGTTGGGATGCAGGTATCTCCTCACCCCCATACCAATACTCACACAACGTGGTCTGAAGGAGCCTAAAGATAAATAATCGGACACTACAGATACCACCTAGGATTCGGAGACGTGGATGGGTTTCAACATTGGGCAAGAGTTAGGATCTCCCCTGACCAGGGCACTCCAAGGGAGCCAGGGAGTGACCACGGATCATTTTTATATTTATAACTTGCACCCAACGAGTCCATGTGCAGAAGCAATGGCAGATAAGAACACCGTGCCAGTGCGTCAGTTTTCTCCTGATACCTCGACGTCGGCCCTTTTCATTCATATTTTAATGAGGCTGGTATCTCCGAGACAGTCCTGGGAGGGCGGAGGCAACACTCCCCAAAGATTACAATAGGAGTTGCTTTATTGACAAGTACTATTCAAAACCTTCCCAGTCTAAAAAGAAAGACTTAGTTTTATTCCACTTGTCCCAATACTTCTTGCGCTCTTATAATCAAGACACTTTGGGGGGAGAAGGGAAAGGGGAGGGCTTGATTATTCTGCCAATAGTCTTTAAATTTACTGAAGGGAGTTCAGCTGGGTAGCACCGATCCAAACGCTACTCAGACACATTTTCATGATGAATAAAATGCTGCAATGCACCAGCATCTTAAAGACTTTCTCAAAAAAACCCAATTCTATGGTATTCTAAGATCAAAATCCCTTCTAGAATCTTCCGTAAAAGGAGCTCAACCAGTGAGCTGTGGGGTGTCCCTCTTCCCTGGCTTTGGTGAACACTGTCACGCTGTGACTTCTGAGCTGTCTCCAGCAAACATTTTCTACTTGTATAGCATCTTCACACCAGAGGACTAGCTCATTATATCTAACAGCTATAGACTTAGGAAATTATAGAAATCCATATGGTGATCCCTTGCTACAATATATTTGTGATAAAATGGCCATTACTCCACTACATGCAAACACTTAAAAGTATACTTTCGAAACCAGAAAACCAGTTTCCTGTTAGGTGGGAAGTTTTACCATGGGGAGGGGGGCTGTCTACTAACAGCACAACCCAGGAAATAAATCAAATGGCTCATGAAAGTTAGGCGGTGGCCTTTTCGCCGCACATCAGCGTGTTGTGGCTCCTAACTGACATGCCCACAATTTTTGCTCACGGCTCAGAATGTTAGGTCAATGTGAACAATGAGTCTTTGGAGCATGGAGCAGCCTGTCCCCAAGAGGAAGTGCCTGGCGGTGCACGAGGCGATGGTTGGTGCCCTAACATTTCTAAAAGCACTCTTCCAGGGGGCCCCGCGCCCCTCCTGCCAAATCCGCTCCCAGCTCCCGCCCCTCCTCCCAGTCACTGAGAAGGTTTACTTTTCTAGTGGTAAGAAAAAAGCCCACTCTTCATTTTCAAGTAGAATATGGCTTGTTCTCATTCAGAAACTACGAATGTATTTTACACCGATTGGATAAATATACCTGAATCAAGTATCACAGAAAAAAAAAAAAACCACAATCGCTCCACAGTGATCTGCCTTGATTAATAGTAATCTAAGAATTTACCTGCACATCTTATAATTTTTCCCAGGGATTAATAAATGTTTAATCCTCAAGTTTCTGCCGGTTAATTACACAGATTTTCAGTTTCATTAACCCACATCTTCGCTGTTACAACTTAGCAGTCTGGAAAGGCGTAAATAAGAATGCGACCTGTAATCTGCAATGCGCGCTTTGAGCCCCTTACGTTGCGGTTTTTGCCTGTGGACTTTATATCAAAAAGTAAAGCATTCATGAGTTTTAAAAAAAAAAAAAAAACACTTGGTATGTCAGTGAGAGAAGAAATAAATGAAGCGGCATGTTTAAATCAGCTATTTAACTACAGGTTTGAATGCATGGACCTTGGAAACAGTACCAGACTCAAAGCAAGTTTGGGGCAGGGGGTGGGGAGAAAGCGGGATATCATTACCTGTGCACCCGGCAGGTGCAGTCGAAAGTTAATCGGCGGCGTTACTCCTCTTACTCTCTCCTGCTGGCGTGTTCCTTTAAAAATGTGTTTACAAAGTTGGTTCCTTACAGTGGTATAGTGACGCGGGGGATGATTTATAATGCAACCCAGATTTTTTTTTTTTTTTTTTTTTTTTTTTTAGAAAACACAACCGCGAGCCCACCGCCCTGCGCTTTCATGTTAATGCTGCCGCTCTGGCGGATCAGATTTGTGGCCAGATGGCGGTGAAGCGCGGAGACCCTTTGTGCGCCCCGAGCGCGCCTGTGAATGTAGCGCGGTCGTTGGCACCGGAAGGGCTCACACTGCGACTGAAAGGGGACAATGGAGGCTGGATATATCAACACTGCAGAAATCGAGTTCATTTGGGATTCAGCCCCTTTCACAGTGGTTGTCATGCAAACTTCCTACTTTGATCAGCAGAGGGTGGAGAGGGGAAAAAAGCGCGCAAAGGCCGCGGGGCTGCGGCGCGGTCCGGGCGCCCTTGGCGGCTCCACGCCCCCTTCCGGAAGGAGCCGCGGGGACGCAGGCTCCTGCACCTTGACCCGTCTAGACGGCCCAGAAGTTTTTGTCTCTGTTACCAAGGGCGAGGGGTGCTCTTTGACCCGCGCCTGGAGCGAAGGTGGTGGCCGCGGAGTCCCTGCTGTATTCCGGCTGAATTGCGGAGGGAGCGGGGACGCACGGGGACGTGCACCAGCTGTTCCCAAAGAGAGCTGCGCGGAGCCCGCCGGGGAGAGGTGCGGCGCCCTAAGCCCCTCGCCCGGGGCGGCGCGCAGCTGCGGCCCGAGCGGACGCACGGCCCCGAGGAGGAGCGAGCGGAGGAGCCAAAAACTTTTGACTTCTCCAACTTCTTCGCGAACCGCGGGAGAGTTTTGCAACAAGCTTCTCTCTGCCCGCACCCACCCCGCACTCCCTCCGTCTCCCTTGACAAGTAGGTAGACCCTAACCGCCACTTCGGGTGCTTCGCGCCTTGCTCTGCGTGTTCAGTGACATAGGACTGATGGTTCCCTATAGGCGGTTTCTGGTTTGAACGCGGATTTTTTCCCCCCTGTCCATCTTTAACGTGCGCTTCCTGATGGAACCCCCTTCCATCATGGAAATGCTATAGTTACAGAAGTGTAGGGGCCAACCGGCACGTGTTGGCAGCAGTGGGGGCTGCGCGCGCGCGCGTGTGCGTGTGTGTGTGCGTGCGTGTTTCCATGTGTGTTCCTGGCCGGGCGTCTTGGAACTAACTAGCATGCGCCCAAGTTTCCTCCGCTTCCCTGCAGATCCCCCTAGTCCAGTCTGAGGCGTTCTTAGTCGACCTCTTGGACAACGTGTGTGAGCGAATGAACGACTACCAGCTTAAAGAAGACCCAGTGACGAAGGAGAAAACTTTCACGAGATACGCTCCACGGAAGGGGGACAAAGTGTACAAAGAGTATAAAAAGTTCTACTTCTATTCCGATGCCTACAGACCTTTGAAATTCGCGGTAAGCTGCCCCCGCCGCGCAGGGCACCCCGCGCGCGAGTTTTTTGGCGTTCTTTTGTGTTGTTTGCTGTTCTTTTTCTCGGTCCTTGAGTTTCAGGACTTGGATCGTTCGTATGCACGTGGGGATGGCGTCCGTGTTTGCCTGGCGCTTGGGAAGTGCTCGCCATGCATTGCGGCGTGGTGCCCCTTAGAGACACCTACCGGGTTGTGGCATCTCCTGGTGACCCATGGAGATACTGAAATGCTGTTTTGCAACGAGGGCTGGTCACAGCTCCTAGGGACTTCGGCACACAGCTTGCACACTGTTTTGCCTGGGTGGGGGCCGAGTGGTGTCTATCCTGTTGCCAGAGGTTTCTCCCTCTGTTTTCCATGGAAGGGGACCGGGCTCTGTGGTTTCTAGATAAAATCCAACCTAAAACGAAGGTCATTTTCAAATATTTATAGCCAAATGATGGGGACAGAGTGACGTAATCATCTTCTTCTCAACCCCCTCCCCCCCAAGGCTTCACAGAAGAGAGAATTTTTTTTCATCCTAGGTTAATTCAAGTATTCTAGCACAAACTAAGTTAAACAAAGGCTTAGGTATGATAGTTGGCTGAAAGCCAAATTTCCTCCCGGTATAATGTTTATTTTACAGGAAAGTGGCCTCTGGCTTGCTGGAATCTGCCTGGCAAAATATATTGCAATATATTGCACTTGACTTAATGCTGTTGAATCAGACAAAATGATGGGCAGGCCTGTTTTAAAAATGCATTACATTCACGCGGTGGCCAAAATGTCAGGCATTGCTGGAGCCCTGAAGTGAGGGCTTTAGCCGACTTCCGAAGATTTCATTTTAATTAAAAAGTAAGAGCAATAACTCAGGGTCGAAAGGGCCATGAAATAGGAATGGCAATAAGTAACTGTGCTTGTATTTCACAGGTTTTAAATAAACACATTACGGTGGAATTTCAAGATTTTTCAGCGCCCTTTAAAATTTTTAGAGTCTTGCTTAATGAGCTTGGAAAATGGTTTACAAGTCTCTAGCGAAATGCCTTCAGCAACTCCAGAATCCCTGAAAGGGTAACCTGATAGTTCCTTAACGGAGAGACAGACTCCAGTTGGAATTTAAGATTTTCCAATACAAGGGCCCACTCCTCTTCTCTGAAACTCAGGTTTCCTCCTTCCCTTTTCTGGAAAGCAGAGTGGAGTTTGGGCTGGACCTCTACACCTCGTGAAAAGAGACTCCCCCAAGTAACTGTCAGGCGTGTTTGCCACCGCGAGCGTGGAGGTGCATTTGTTTTGATGGCTGAGAAGGCTTCATTGTTTTCACACTTTCAAACCACAAAATGGATTATTATGTTAAATCAGAGGGAAAGCGGTTTAAGCGTTTCCAGGAAATGCCTTCTTTAAAATGTTGGGAAAAAAAAAACAACATCCAACTCAGACTTTTCACATTTCTGCCTGTGGCTCGCATCCCAGTATAAGGAAGAGAAACAAAAGCTTCGAGCTATTTTCCTTCCTCCTGCTCCCTGTCCTCATGTCTTTCAGGGCCACTGATCAGGTAGTGAAATCCTAGGAAAATGATGGCAATTAACATTCTGGGAAGAGGTTGAATCCAATGCAATGGTGCATTCAATGCAGAGGGCTAACACAAATGGACCACCTTGGCTCCATGACTTGGTATTTTTAGCTAACAGAACGTTGCCACGTCCCTGGTACAACAAGGTGCCCTGCGAGTGTGTATCTAGCCACATATGCTGTTATTATGTTTCTGCAGTGTGAGACTATAATAGAAGAGTATGAAGATGAAATATTCGCACTTATCGCCCAGGAGGCACGCTCTCTAGCTGACAGGCTGTGCAGCGAAAAATCAGGTACTGTGTCTGATGTGGCATGTACTCCCTCCCTCGCTCCCCCTCTCTCTCACTCAGCCTTGCAAGCCCCGTGTTTGCATCCCGAGCCGCGCCACGGCTCTGACGCAGGCTTCGCCGGCTGTAGCACGCGCATCCCCGGAAACCACAGGCCTCCCCGTCTTCCCTCCCTGTTCCACCCTTGTTCGCTCAGCACGGCGTGAATCCACAGTACTTTCTCAGTATTTCTTTTTTAACTTCAGAGATTTGGATTTCCCATCCCGACCCAGGAAAGGAGAATCTGTAGGATTTAGAAAAGTGTTGGCTGTCACCCAGCAGCGGGCAGAGTTTCTGTTTCATAAGAAACGTTTTTGAAGATTGTTGTTGTTGTTGTGGGGGTGGGGCTTCCTGAGTTTTTTTTTTTTTTTTCCAAGTCTGTTTCTCAGTGTCTACTTCTTAAAAACTGGCTCCCAGGATGGGAAAGGATACTTGTTAGGTATTGTTCAACATGCACCTGGCACTGGTAAGCTAGGCAAGGATGAACAGAACTTTACTGGAGACTAAGTTAACGCCTCCCCCCCCACGGCCCTGGCTCTCCCTCCTGTTTGGCTGCACACCCACAGGTGCATCATTATGATACCTGAGTGACACTGTTATTAGGATGTGGGACCACTGGGTGGGCGATGTTTGGAACCCCCTTTGGGAAGAAGAGGAATAGAGAGCCATGAATTCAGGCAGAGCTTTAAAGCTTTTTAAAAAAAAAGATATTGGCGTCATTTACAGCCACGTGGAAGCCTGAGACATTGAGCATTTAGCAGCTGTCTGGGAGACGGCCTCACGCAGCCAGCGGCGTGTACCACCTCTAAGTTGGTGCCACTTGGAGCTTCAAGTGAGAGTGACTGCACGTTTGTGGCTCAGCGGCCTCAAAAGTCGCCAGCCAGGATGGTGATAAATCCCCCACAAACAGAACCTGTGAGTTTTCTTACTCTAAGGACAAGATAGGGGTTTTGGTTTAAAGTCTGTGTTTCATGGCGCTTTGGAGTCTGGGGCTTTTTGCCCTTTGCTCTTGGCTTCAGAAGGTGGAGAGTTGTGAAATTCACACGGCCACAACTTCCCACAGAAAGTGTTTTTGAAGTTTTTCAAAAATAATTCAGAGCTGCAGCTGTGCCTCAAAAGTGATCAGCAAAAATGGGATAAACAATACCCGCCATATTTGTTGTCTTTTTTTCCTCGTGAAGGGTTTGGATGTGTCATAGGCAGCTATGACAAAAGCAAATAATTTGCTACATGAACATTCCTTGGAAAGTTCCGGAAGGACTTGGTTCCACCGACTATTTATGGTAGTGATCGCCCTCAAATTCTAGAGAAAGGCTGTGCCCCTAAGCTCAGAAATTTGACTTAAATTCAGTACTGTTAGCTGCCTCTTCTCATTCCTTCTGCATATTTATAACTAGAAATAATTATGGCTGCCCGATTGGGAAGCGGAATGAGTTCGTTCAAGTTCTATTTCTTCAAGAAACATGTATGTGGGTGTTCCAAGCCATTCATGAGTTAAAAACTGAGACTAAATTAATCCTAAAAAGAAGCTAGATACCTCCCCCTCCAACACCTACTGTTAAGAAAAGTCAGCATCACAGTGCAAGGTAGAGTTCTTCCATCCTTACAACTTATTGCCAGACACAGCTAAGCAACACATCAGTGATAAAAGTCCCAATGAATGGTTGCAGCAAAGGGAAGTAATACGTTGTGACACACTGGGGTGCTTTCAGACAACGGAGGAAAAGATGAGACTTGCATATGGCAAAAGAACTCCGGATGCATTCAAACATGATCTAAAATACAAAACCAGGAAGTTCCCTGGCGGAGTGTGACAAGCGTACGCTGTTTTGTAAAGGAAACGCTCTATCTTGTTATACTGTACAGCAGCGTTACTATAACATGATCTCTGTAATTTAAATGTCTTAGGGATGCGCCCACGCGCGTGTGTGTTTGTAAAACTACATTAGCCACTATTTACTGAGCGTATACTACGTGCTGAGTGTCCATCTATTGCTTTTATGGAGAGAAACGGTATTTAGGAAATAGATAACATTTATAGAACGAGAAATTTGATTGGAAGCTTGGTTTCTTTCCACACTTGATATACACTTTGTGTATTTATGAGTTTTGCTTTTTTTTCTGTTGAAGGTATTTCACTTTATTTGTTATACTTACATGTGAGCACATTGACACGCTCTTCAAAAACACCAGGGTTCTAACGTTCACACATTAAAAATCACGGGGAATAATTGAGAAAACGTCACTTGCATCAAATTTAAGATGACTGCTTGGATTTAAAAATAACGCAGCAGTGCGCTTTTCCTCAACATCATGTGTCGTCTTTATGATGAGGGAGGAAAGTCTCAATGGGAGGGTTGCCGCTGGATCTGTGGGTGCCACTGCAATTGTAGACACTGGTTAGAATAAGAGTTACCAAACGTACCCCATCCCTGGAGTGAGAGACCAGGTACTTGGAAGATGTTCCTCATATAATCTCTTTTCTTTTTCTAGGGAAAAAAAATAAAAGTAAGTTAATTAGATTTTCCTGGGGGAATATTTTGTGGTGTATAACCCAGGCCTTTGCAGATTCTTCTTTTGGGCTCTTGAAGTGAAAATGGTTAAAATTTTAATGCAGTGTTGGGTCATGCCTAGGAATACAGCTATATACCGCTCAAGGTGGGGACAGAACACTGCGGGATATAATGAATGTGTACTCTTACGTTTGTGGGGGTATTCGCCCAAAAGATTGCTTGGGGTATCAATACAAATACAGAAATATATTCTGTATATATCACTTCTGCTTTGGTGTCAAATTAACATTTAAAAAGCATAACTGATAAATTGGCCACATAACTACTTTGAATGCAATGGAATAAGATATCAGATATCTGGAAATCTTTCCGTTTAAAGTAAAAGCACTTTTACTTTTTGTATGCACTTCACACTAATGAGGGTGCTACATTCTCATATACGAATAGTTCCTCTCAAAGGCTAGCATACTTTAAATGAATTGTGTGGCTGAAGTCGCCTGTATCCTTTCTGAATAGAGTTGGTATTAATTGCTTCCAACCGGGAAAGTGGGGTGGGTCAGAGAATCTGCTTGCCCCGCTGGTGCTTGGATGAAAGGCCAAGTGGCCAGTGCCCCTTAGAAGCTGTGAAATATCTCTGCATGGATCTTCTTTCAGTACTCCCACAGCCACGGGTGAAATGACACAAGACCTCTGCCTTGGCCTTGCTTTAAACCTCCCCAACCAAAAAATCCTGGAAGATGAGAGAAAAGCAGTGTGGGACGTTGTTGCTCCTGGGTGGGTGCGGGAGACAGGGAAAGAGAAAATACCCTTCCCTCTGCTTTTGTGTCTGCTTGAACATTCCATAGCAAAATTTGGGAAAAAGTGATTCCACCTTTTGGAGGAACGTGGGGGACTAACGGCTGCTATTTAATGGGAGAGTGATGCTATGTAAATTTCTTTCTCCAGGTCTGTGTGGAACTCCTGCTAACCATACTGAACTCTAGGAAGGAGGTGCCACTAGTTATAAAGAAGAGTAAAGCCACATCCTCAAAGGTCAAAGCCTGCCTTTTCTGTTTGCGTGTTGTCCGTCATGATAGGAAAAGTTGTCTCTTATTTGTACCATGTTTATCTCATAGATGATGACTTTTTTGAAACTCTGTTGTTTGGCATCAACAAACTTGACTTTCTATAGGTAAGGCTGAAAGCATGTAAAAATGAAATGACCTTAGGTAGATTTTGATCAGAACAGGTTTGACAAGAAAGCATGTAGTACGGTGGTGGGAAAAAAAGAAGACCTTTCATAACCCAAGGAGGGATTTCACCATGCGGACTGTATGCTTTATGGTAAATGTTTATGCACATAGGCAAATGCCATGTACCATTTTGGTGAGAACTAGATTCGGTGTCTGAAATCTGTTGACAGGCCACTTATTTAAGGAAATATATTGCAATGAATTCCAAATTCAGTCCTCTGGGTTGTGTATGGCTGTTGGTGAAAGAAATGAACTCACTTCTTTAAAAAAAAATCAAGGATGAAATTTACATTTCTAGAAACGATGAGTTTAAAAACTTCATTTCTAAAATCGGGTGGAGTGCCTCAAAAATAATGGGTATTTTTATAGTGAACAGTGATTGTATTGGCCTCTCTGAAACATGCGTTCTGAGTTCCAGTGATTTGGATAGATGATGGGAGATGACATTGTGCATTAAAATTGACACCAATGACCATGTTTTGCTGCAAACTCCTGTCTTTTTTTTTTTCTAAAGACATTCAGCTAACATTTAGTGTATAGATGTAACTATTAAATAACCTATCTTTCTTCTACAGGAATGTGTTTTGGAGATGTGGAGATGGAAGGGGAGGTTGGGACATGGTGGAAAATTACCTTTTCAACACACTGAATTTAATACACAGGGTAGTAACAATCTCTCTTGAACAATTTCATTGTCTCTGTCTAATTTGCATTCAATGGAGTCAGACTTTATTTAAAATGTCAGGGTAGAGTCTACACTTGTTGTTTTTTTTTTTTTTAATTTCTCATTGTTGTCAGTGAGAATTGAATGAGCAGACTGTTGCAAATTCTGCCCCCAAAGAGCTAAAACTTTGCCATATTATTTCATAATTGCCCAGAAAACGCATTGTTTCAACCTTTCAACTGCTCCTCAGCAGGAAATAATTGTTGAATTCAGGAAAATATATCAAATTAAGGGAAAGCTGTTTCCATTTTTCCTCTCCCCCAACTCTTATTAAAAGTCAGATTTTAAGTTAATGTCATTTGTGGGGGAAATTGAGAAAGAATATGCTTTTTTGGGTGTGTATTTCTGGCTGCTTAAGTATTCCAGACCTTACGTAATCCAATGACTGCTTTCTAGCTGATAGAAAATAGAAATAGCATTTAAGGCTAATTAACACCACTTACCAGCAGGGCAGTAAAATTGTCATTAAAACCCAGTCCCTATGTCTTCATTTAGAGTTAACTATTGACGATAAATTTGACATTTGAAATTGCAAATCGTAAACATTTTGCCAACTCACATTTTCCTAGAAAATGCACTGAGCAGGAGCACTGTTACCTGACCCCAAGTGGCCTTTCCCGGGGACGTGGTGGAAAGCATGGCTTTGGGGGCAATGTGGCAACTGCATCTGTAGAACTGTCACCGCCCTCCTTTCCCACTCTTGTGGGTAAGCATTAAAAATGCTTAAATGTCGGCCATACAAGCGCTAACCCCAGACGTTAAGGAAACGTGGGCTCTTGTCTGGAGCCTCCACAGCCATGGAGAAAGAGGCCCTCCTCTCACCGATGGGGCTTGCTCCTTGGTGGCGATGCTTTGAGCGTGGGAAGACTATGTAAGAGTTTGCTAAATATACTTTTAAATTCTTTTTCTTGGATTTTCTAGTAAAAGCCACCTTGAAGCTTACAACCATTTTAATATCTCACGACTTGTGTATTCTTTTCCTTCCAGAATTTTTTTTTCCAGGCCAAACTTGTTAAACTCCTGGAAATATCTGTAGCTTATCGAGGTGCTCATTGAAACGGCATTTGAGTAGCAATACCCAAACCACGGGATTTCTTAGGCTGCAATGATTTTTCAGCTTCCCTCGGGGTCACGGTTAGGTTGTGCTGCTTTTGCTAATGAACAGTAATGAGACAGAGTAGCTGCTCACTGTAGCACGCCTTCTAACTGTCATCCTGCCTTCTCTATGGCCTTTACCAACCAAGAGCAAAGTAAAACACAAAGCCAGAGAACAGAACAAGAAACACCTAGGATGGGAGAGGACAGTTTCTCGCAGTTGATGAAAAGCAACCTCATTCTAGGTTAAAAAAAAAAAATCCCTGGAGAAATATGGGTGGGGTCTGCGTACACAATGCTGGAGGAGAGAAGACACGTTTGAGGCCGGATAGTTTGTGCACCTGATCTCACAACAGCAACAACAAAGCCACCCAGTTGGCTGAGGCGAGCGCTTCATTTTCCGTTGTGTGGGTTACGAGTCGCTGAGAATAAGCTCCAACCAGTGAAGCCATTTCACTGAGGAGTGGAGAGTGGAATGGAGCCCAGGTCCCAGACGGGAAAGATCAATACTTTATTTACTAAGACAAACCCTAAAAAAAAAAGAGAGAGAGAGAGAGAAAGTCAATAGCTGGTTGTGTTTTTCTTTTTTCTCAGCGTAGGTTCATCTCGATTCATATATGTAATAGATTTATCTAAATAAAAAAAATTTAAGACATCTATCATTCTTAAAATTCAAATTGGAATGGGATGAGAAAAAGTCACTCTTTGATGTGACATTGGGGTCTGTTTTAAAGCTTGATACAGATTTGTGTGCTAATTTTAAATGTCTTGATGCCCTGACAGTGGCATATCGTGTGTTAGGATACTACCCAGCTACAATTAACGATGGTAGTACGTCATCCCAATAAAAATATACCTGTTAGAGGCAAGTGCCTTTTTCTTGTGATTCTCTACCTACCATTAATTCCCCTTGATGCATCTCTGAAACGTATTAGCTTATTTGTTTTCAAAATAAGGAACTAAGTAGATAAAGAGGTCAAGTTCAGTAGATAAAAATCTAAAGATAGAAATTCCATTAATGACCTAGGGAAGGGTGCAGAAAAGGCTGTTGTGCTCCCTTGGAGTTCTTCTGGCTGTGCCCCCCCACCTCCACCTGCTTCCTGATGACGAGAGGGCCTTCTGGGGTCCACTGTGTCCTGGGCGAAGGCGATGGTGGTTCTAGGATGTAGGGTCATCACTAGCAAGAGGATGTGTTGCTTCTAGAGAGAAGTTTGTGGAAGCGGAGACCAAAACGTCAGCTAGAGCTCTCCACCCTTCTGGGTTTTCTGAGATGGTCCAGGAATGAACGGATGGACAGACAGAAACGCAGATGGGTAGATACGGACAAGCACACAGGGATAGATGTAAGTAAAACTGGGACACAGGGAAATCATCCAGAGCTTTGGCTGTTCCTGAGCAGGGATCTCAGAACCAAGCATCTGGAAATTTCTTTAATTCCTTAAAAGAAAATAAATCATCCTGTGTTTCCCATCTTGAAGGATTATCTCAAGGTCTTCATAAAAGAAAAAAATTAAGTTACAACAGACAGATAATATCCTACCCCACAATAGGAAAATATATCTGAGAACAGATTTGCAAAGTATGTTTAGTCTGTTAAGATGTTGCTTGGAAAACAAACATGCTATGAAGTTACCCTGAAATACAGGAGAATCATAGGTGTTTTTATTACAGACACAGATTTTAGGAAACCCATAAGGTCAGGTTGCATCTCGGAAAACATTAGAGGACAAAGTAAAAGCCCAAACAGTAAGACAGACGATGAAGCTGATAGTCCTGCACGCCCACAACCTCAGAGCTGGGAAAAAATTGTGCATCACACCGCTGAGCCTCGATGCACCACGGAGGCAGAGGTCACTGGGCTCGGGAAGGGCTCTGGTGACTTCCTTGTCCTCTCAGTATTGGTTGAGCACCAATGTCCAAGGAATGCAGTTACGGCATGGCGCACCGGATGCCCGACGCCAGTAATGGAGCGTGGCTGGGACTTAGAAAGACCGCGGAAGCGAGAGGTTCAAATATTGATCCCTGTTTCCAACTTTGTAAAGAACAAGTTGGCACCTGAAGGGCTGGGATGGACTCCCTGACATTTCACATCCAGGACCCGCCTCCTAGTAGCTTTCTGCACAAGTGGGAATTTCTCCTCTCTGAGATCAGCGAGGAAGGGCAGCGATAATCCTGAGGCGACACCATTGTCAAGAGCAAGCTTTCAACCAGGTGATTTTCACTGTCTGAGAGAGAGAGAGTCTGGACGGCTCTGTGTACGTCAGCAAGGGCACCGAGGAAGCACCTCTGTGCCCTGTGGTTTGTGGAAGGAAGCAGAGAACCACAAAATAGACTGTTTGGTCCCTAGCAAAAATCGACCCTGCAGCCAGGGTATTGAAACAAAGCAAAGTCTAATACAAATGCAGGTTCAATAAGTGTTATTAAATTATTAGACATTTAGGTAGAAATATACCCCTTGAACTGCCTTTATATGCAATCAAAGCCGTCATTAAATATTAATGTCCCAAGATAAAAGGTGTGTGTGTGTGTGTGTGTGTGTGTGAAGCAGTCCCCCCAAATGGTGAACAGGAGATGTTGCAAATTAGCTCCATTTTGTACACTTGGTGGGTACTCACATGCCAACCAACTCTGGGAGTGCAAACCCTGCTGAAAGCCCCCCTGGATTCCCGGGGTCTGGGCCAGCCATGCCTGGGCAGAGCTCCTGGGTGTTTTGTGGGTGTGCTGGGATTCCGTCCTGGCAAACCGCAAAAGGTACAGCGTCCTTGTGAGCGCCCATTGTCACTTCAGCAAGGCCCTTCTGCAGAAAGCTAGACGCCTTGGAGTTGGAAGAAAGGGCTGAGCGATTCCGAGCAACCTGGGTCTCAGACACCTTTCAGCAGAGCCAAATAGAAGATGCTGGTTTCTCCATGCGGAAGGGCGTGATACCTTGAGGCTTCAAAAATCGGCTTTCTGGTTCTTTGTTTTTAAGAAATGCTTTTCCTCCTCCCTGACCACTAAAGTCTCAAATCCAGAAACCCTTAGCTTCTCCAGCGCTTGTGACTTATTCCCAGACGCTGGGAGTTGCCTCGTGTGTACCGACACAGCGTTAAGTAACGCTGGTGCCAACTGCCTTGTGCCCGAGGGCAGGAGGAGGGCTGGGGTGGCCCCACGCCACAGCTCCGCCCGGGCGGAGGATGTTCAAGTGCGCCAGTCCCTCGCTGGCTGGCCCGAGCAGAACCCAGGGGGGCAGCAAGCAGTCAGGGGAGGCCCCTTTGTCTGTGGGGCTGGGATTCCCTGGCTGTCCCCCAGCCCTGCTCTGAGTGGGCTGTGCCCTTGAGCGCGGGCTGTCCTTTCCAGGGTCAATATGGATCCCCAAGGAGCAAGTGCGGCAGGAGGCTCAAACAAAGCCTTATCTGAGGGCACAGTGATGAGCTGCCGAGTCTCCTTCCCCATTTATTCTCACATCGATCTGTATCTCAGAAAGCCCGGAGCGCCGCTCAGGGCCCTTGGCGTGGGTTGGCGGGGTAAATCCGTCAGAGCTGGTTATCAATGTGCCCTACCCAGAGAATGGCTTCCCCAGGAAGGTGTGTGCCTGTGACCTCTCCTGCAGACCCCCAAGAGAAAGGGCTGGGTCGAAGGCTCAAGGTGAACCTGCCTGTGCGGGAGATCCGCATCAGCC